GGATTGTGTGAATTCGGTCCAATTCGGTTCAGTTTTTCGGTTCTGGGCTTTTTACATGGGCCTTCAATCTGCAGACTGTAGCAACAGTTCCAGTTATCATCAGAAGCACTAAACCCAGAAGAATCGTCATGAAAACAACAATTCAAAACTGGTCCACCATGTAAGAACTCACCCATCGTCTCATCATCACATTTGAAGTCGCATCATACAATCTGACACTCAAAACATTTTGTTTCAAATTAGGTAAAAATAAGTAGAAATTGAGAAGAAAAATGAAAGAAGGAAGTAAGTTTGTTTTGAAGTACCTTGTCCCATGAAGAAACGAGAAGATGATCACTATGATTAGAGAATCTTAAATTCGAAATACCATCTGTTGGAGGGTTGAAAAGCTCTTTCCCCGGTGCCGGAGGAACAATCGCACTCGTTGATTCAGATAATTGCTATTCGGGAAGTGTGTTTGAATTGTCGAAGAAAAGGCGGAAGGTCTTGATTGAAGAAGAAAAGGACTCCAAATCAAAGTGAACTTTTTTGGTCTATCAGTTGCTGAAGAGTTAAGACTGAAGTTCAATTTTGAACTAGGTATCTCAATTCTCAAATCTAAATCCAACAAACTAATTTATACAAACAGTAGTACAGTACCAAAATCGATCTAGTGTTGTGATTGTATTTAACTATTTATAACTTGTATATAGGTGAAATTCAAAAGTTATTGAAAATGAGAGAGATGAGTGATGATAAGTGGCAATTGAAGAAGAGATTGGAGAGTAGAGTAAAGTAAGAGAGAGGCAGCCAGTACCAATAGAGACTAGAGATTAGATTAGAGAAAAGGTGACCTAATGTTGGTTTATGTTATATTTGGACTGGAAATATCAAATATACCCTCGGTTTGATTCGGTTCGAACCGGTCCAATAATATAAGAACTGGAATTGGACTGGACATGTCCAATTCGGTTCGGTTACAGTTCGGTTTTGACCAGTTTTTGGTCAACTCCGGTTTTGACCAGTTTTTGACCGGTTTTTTCGGTT